CCCCCAGCCCCGGGTCACTAAAAAAATTGGACCTCCTTTACTTTCTCTATATGTACGGTGGCACTCGCCTTTTGGTAGAAAGGGTTTGAACAGCGCAGTATAAGTGCCGAATTAATCATTTAGTTTTGTTGTGCGGTCTGATGTCAGCGTTGGCAGTCGGGAAAGAAGAGGCAGTGAATTTTCCAAAAGAACTGAAGATCCACTTTCAGAAATGCCCGAGACATTCAGGAGCCCAAGTCCTACCAGTTTTCCATGGAACTTGATACACAGGGTTCAAGCCTATTCCCATGGCCCTTGGTGCAGAATAAGGGACTAGGAGCCAAGCCTTTAATGGTATTTAAGCCCCTGGAGAAGCTGCTCGGCTGGTATTTCTTGGGCATGCTCTAGATATTCCTAAAAATGGCTTGGGGACAGATGTGGATGGCTTTGAAAGCTGCCCAGATGCACAGTCACCAGCTTGAGAGAGTGCTGGTGTCTGTGCAGTGCTGTGACTCGGGTCAGGGGAGGACACTTGTGTTGTGGCGGCCCGCACGCACCTTGTGGTTTGGGCATAAAGGTGTGGATGGCTAATGCTAATGAGGTTCAGGGTGTCTTTGTGTGTGTGCTTCCCAGGGACGTTCGCATTAAACTTCTGTGCTTTTTTTTTTTTTTTTTTTTCTTTCTTTCCACGTGTTGGAATAACTAGAAGCCTGTTTTGCTTGTCCCTTAGGTCCTTCAAGAGGAATGATCCTGTTAACCCATACCATGTGAATTCTGGCTATGTTTTTGCCCCAGCAACTAGCGCAAACGATAGCGAAATATCTAGCGATGCCTTGACTGATGACTCCATGTCCATGACAGACAGCAGCGTGTAAGTACTTCGCCTTCACCAAATCCTTTTTGAAGCAGTACCGTTTGCAGCCACCCCGGGCCAGTGACCCACAGTGGCTTGCGCAAATGATGACTCTGTTGGGTTTTGGTTTACTTCTGCTTTTGATTTGACCTGAGGTCTGCTGAATTGGATACCAGGCAAGCTGCGAAGTAGATTGCGCAGTTCAGCAGTATTGCTGGGGGTGCTACCGTTGACTCGGTTGTCTCAGATACTGGATGCAGTAGCAGCGAGGGGTCCCTCTTGCCATTTTGTTCATCCTTGGCTGAGCAGATTTGTTCTCCCAGGTGTGAACTGAAGCTCTTAACTTGCTCATGCACAAAGCTCTTGATTCAGAGGCGATATCTTTTATGAGACCAACTAAATTGGTAGCAAAAAAAAATTCTTGCTCGTGGTGTGCATTTCTGTCTCCTTGAGGCCTGGCCTCCTTTAGTATTTATCAGTCATAAAAGAAAGAGATTACTTCCTATAGGAAGTGCTTTCTAGGATTAAAGGTCGCCAGTAATGCCAGCGTGCCCGCTTTGGGTCTGCTGATGGGAGGTTGCAAGTACTGGGTGCCCCATGAGCTGGGGCTTGTGGAGAATTGTTTGACTGAAATCTTATGGATTAAAGTCTCAAGTGTTTTAGGAGCGTGGCCCTGTGGCCAAAGACCAAGCTTGGGAAAGGACAGATCTGGGCTCTCTTCTGGCTCTGGCCTAGACTTTCTGCACAACAAGCTGCTTAACCTTGCTTCCTCGGCTGCCCTACCTCTAAAGGGATAATGATACTTTCTTGCCTCAAGGGGTAAAGCAAGACTTAATTCACTATTAGCTGTAAAGCACTTTTTGATCCTGGGATGGAAGGCAATGTTTAAGTGTAGGGCATACCTTAGAAAAGGGGGCAGGCCCTTCAGAAAGGTAACTTATTCAATTAAATGAGGCATTCAAGGCCTTAATCTCCTAAACACAGCTTTTTAGTGTCTCAGATATGTGCAGTGATTACTGCATGTCCTTGCCTAAGACTTGCATCCTGGCGTTTTTCAAGTTGGCAACCTACTGTATGAGGATGCACAATGGAAAACTGGGTTTTTTGGAAAAAAACACAAACAAAGCAGACGATGAACAAATAAAAATGCTTTTTTTTTTTTTTT